GAAATAAATACCTAAATGATTTAAATAACTGTAATTTAATTTACACGACATATTCTAGGTATTTATCGGTACGGTAAAATTTTGAAGTTCATCGGTATTCTGTATCAAAATTTCGAGTTCTAATTTATTTATTACCTAATTGACTTTTTATATGTTGATTTTGTTTATCTTTATTAATATGATTTTGTTTAAATTCCTCTTCAAATTTAATACCAAGACGTGATTCAATTCTTAAATTTTTTTTATATTTATTAGGGATTTTTAGGTTTTAAACCTTAAAATAGTACCTAAATAGGTTGTGTAATGTATCCGATTATGTGCATAAATAAAATTATGTTGAAAAAGCAGGAATTTTTAAAAATGTTGGCGGATTAAAACCCGGGATTTCTGTACTGCAACCGGGAAAATCCTTTACATGATACCTCCTCTGCTACACCCTGATCAACATAACTATTACAGGAAATAATAAGTTATAACCTAAAAATCCGATCCCTAATAATTTTATAATTAAATTTAATTTACATATTTTCTAATTCAAAATGATTGGAATATATTCCATAAATTGAATTATCATTAAATCCATATTTATTATTTAGTTTTCCCATATGGAAATTGAGAGTAGAAATAAATTCATTAATATAATTGGGATTTGAAGAACAAGAATCCTCTTTAAAATTGAGACCAACTAGCCAAATAACGCGAAGCATTTGAAAGCTTTAAAATTATTTGAAAATGATTATTGTTAAAGCTTGTAGAGCTCTGCTGTATTTGGAAACGGAATACGGGGGCTGATAAAAACGGGGGAAAAAGGAAGACAGAAGCAGAAGAGAGCCAATCCTTATTCGAGTTTTAAGCTTTGTTTGGAAGCACGACTAAAATTCGAACTTGGTAAAACTTTCGAGTACAACCACGAGTACGAGGAAAAAGACTTTGTAGACTTTGTACGAACAACTGTTTTTGATTCAGTTTTTATTTTAGAATAATATTTCCGTTCTGGTTTTTAGTTAAATAGCATTTTAGTATTGGAGGGGATCACGAATTTTTAACTATGACCGGATCAGACACGATCTCGAGCAAGCATCTCGATTTTGTCAAAACATTTAATACGATTTGAACTCTTTCGAATATCTTTTTATAATTCTTGTTGCTCCCTCCCGGTCCGGTCCTTGGTTTTAACTATAATTTTATTAATTACTTTTTATTATTTATTCGCCTTTTTCTTGCAAATCCACTTAAAGCATGATAGTTATTCAATCTATCTTTTAAAATAATTGTCTGTTTATTTTTTGTTAGAATAACAGTTTTTTCTACCCAACGATACAGAAGAGTTCTGACTCTAGTTTTTAATTGTCCACAATTTGGAGGGGAAACTGATGATAATTCTTTTTGATTTTCATCATTAATGTTTTTAAATGATGTACATTCTAATAATAAAAAATGGCAAAATTTATTTTTATAATCCAATTGTTTAAAAATTAAATTATTTTCATCCAAATTTTTAGAAGCATTTTTATCTGTTTCTTCAATTAAAATTTTGTAAGCTAAAATAGAAAAACATTATTTAGAAAAGAATAATCCTAATCTTCTAACTCAAATTAAAAATTTTCTTTTATTATTTGTCAGGTTATCAGAACAAAACAAAATATATGAATTATCTTGATAAATCAAAATGGTGATTGATTCCATAAAGAATCAATCCTGAAGCCTCTACGTATTCTAGTAACGGTTTTTTCAGATTTCTTGCCCATTTGCAAAGAAATTATGAAAAATTACCTCTATTAAACTCTACTTTGATAATATTCAATGTATGGTTATTAACATTATAAGCTGCATTCTGATTTGGAAAAAGTGAAGTAACTACAAGCATTTTGTCCCCATCGTGATATTCTGAAGGCAACAAATTTTTTAGATTCCAATTTTGAAAAATATTGTTTGAATTTACTAATGAATCTAAAATTATTGGAACTGGCCAATGCCTAAATTAGCAAAATTAAAAAGCTTGAACAGATTATTTTCTCGAAAGTATTTACTATTAATCTTAATTTTCGGTCTCAAGTTCTATTTAAATATTGCTTTTATTTTGGGATTATTTTTTAAAAAGATAACTCATTTTCAAAAATTTCGGTTAGCCTAATTATTTGAGGAGGGTAATTAGACTATTAAACAGGGAGATATTTTTTAGATTTAATTTTGCTAAATTTATTTGAATAAACGCACCAAATGCTATAAATTAGGAAGAATTGTCTTAACAAAAATAGTAAATTTCCATTCGGATATAAAAGACAAATCTTTGCTGACATTATCAATAAAATTGTGCCGCTTAGATAACCAAAAATGTTTGAATAAATTTGTCGAGCTAAATAAATTTTTGATTGTTAGTTAAAAAATAATTTGAACCTTTTGCCCATTGTTTAACAACGCGCAATAAATTAGTAAATATTTCCTCACGTTCAGGATTTATTAGAGAAAATTTTGTTCGGTAAGACATTCTATAACCTTTAAAAATATTTATTTTTAGTTTATTTTTATATTGTCTTCGATATTATTTTAATTGTTAAAATATCTAAGGCATATTCGTTTCTTGCATATCTCTTCTGGGCGAGATTTGTGTTAAAGAAAATTGCCCAGTCGTTACATTTTATTATTTATAGCCACATTTTGTGACACTTCTCTTCAAAAGTTCATGATTATAAAATTTATATTGTTTCACCGGTAGATCAGTTCCCAGTTGATCTTTATGGGTATCCAAAAGAGAAGCGCCCCGCGTGGATTTGTAGCGGTATTGGGTAGGTTCTGGCACACAATAGCTCTCCCTAGCGAATATAATGATACTATTTGCATAGGTTCGATTTAAAGAATTTTTCAGAATACTTTTACTTTACCAAATATTTAACAAAAAAGTATTTTTTAATATAAATTATTATAAACAAGCCTGTAAGGATTAAAATACTCTGAAAATGTTGAGAATTATTTAAATTATACATTCGTTCAATTAGTTCATTTAATATGTAAATATTTTCTTTAATAACGTCTTTATTATTATGTTCCGACAATTTTAATTCTGCAAGAATAGATGTAACTGGAAGTTGTGCAAACATAATATCCATTTCCTTATATTTCTATTTCTATTTCCCCTCCAAATTGTGGACAATTAAAAACTAGAGTTAGAACTCTTCTTTATCGTTGGGTAGAAAAAACTGTTATTCTAACAAAAAATAAACAGACAATTATTTTAAAAGATAGATTGAATAACTATCATGCTTTAAGTGGATTTGCAAGAAAAAGGCGAATAAATAATAAAAAGTAATTAATAAAATTATAGTTAAAACCAAGGACCGGACCGGGAGGGAGCAACAAGAATTATAAAAAGATATTCGAAAGAGTTCAAATCGTATTAAATGTTTTGACAAAATCGAGATGCTTGCTCGAGATCGTGTCTGATCCGGTCATAGTTAAAAATTCGTGATCCCCTCCAATACTAAAATGCTATTTAACTAAAAACCAGAACGGAAATATTATTCTAAAATAAAAACTGAATCAAAAACAGTTGTTCGTACAAAGTCTACAAAGTCTTTTTCCTCGTACTCGTGGTTGTACTCGAAAGTTTTACCAAGTTCGAATTTTAGTCGTGCTTCCAAACAAAGCTTAAAACTCGAATAAGGATTGGCTCTCTTCTGCTTCTGTCTTCCTTTTTCCCCCGTTTTTATCAGCCCCCGTATTCCGTTTCCAAATACAGCAGAGCTCTACAAGCTTTAACAATAATCATTTTCAAATAATTTTAAAGCTTTCAAATGCTTCGCGTTATTTGGCTAGTTGGTCTCAATTTTAAAGAGGATTCTTGTTCTTCAAATCCCAATTATATTAATGAATTTATTTCTACTCTCAATTTCCATATGGGAAAACTAAATAATAAATATGGATTTAATGATAATTCAATTTATGGAATATATTCCAATCATTTTGAATTAGAAAATATGTAAATTAAATTTAATTATAAAATTATTAGGGATCGGATTTTTAGGTTATAACTTATTATTTCCTGTAATAGTTATGTTGATCAGGGTGTAGCAGAGGAGGTATCATGTAAAGGATTTTCCCGGTTGCAGTACAGAAATCCCGGGTTTTAATCCGCCAACATTTTTAAAAATTCCTGCTTTTTCAACATAATTTTATTTATGCACATAATCGGATACATTACACAACCTATTTAGGTACTATTTTAAGGTTTAAAACCTAAAAATCCCTAATAAATATAAAAAAAATTTAAGAATTGAATCACGTCTTGGTATTAAATTTGAAGAGGAATTTAAACAAAATTGTAGAGAAAGAAAAATTTGGGGTTTATTCTTTCTCTAATGAGGGTAATTCTGAATCCAGCGACAGAGAGATTGGGATAATTTCTCTCAGGTTAAAACAAAATAAATTCTTTTCCAGACAAAGTTTATTTCTTTCACAAAAAAATATATTAAAGTAAGGATAGGAAAAATTGCTAATGTGAAGCAAAATAATAAGGAAGGCTAAGAAGATTTACAAACTGATCAATCTAGGAAGAAGAATAAGCATATATATACAGGCCAAAGTTTTATATAAATAAAATAAAAATAAGGCTGGGAAAAATTCTTTAGATATATTTAAAAGATAAGGAGTACAAAAAATAAAATTGAATTAAAAATAAAATTTTAATTAAAGAAATTTCGCATTTCGCGACATTTCGGCCAAGGCTTTTAGTGGGAGTAGTTGTGGGGGCAGCAGCAAGGGGCATCGTTGTTGGTTGAAGTTGAGCATATTCAAAGGTGTTGGTGGGTGGCGCACCATGAAGTTTATCTGGGATAACGGAATGGGTTGTCGTTGTACGGGAACATAGGCCAGGGTATAAGCCAAACACGAACCACCATGCCAATTAGGAAAAGTTGTGCGTGTAAATAGAGAGGGAGGATTAGTCATTATAGGTTTTATTTTTACCTTCATTGTCTGAGGATTTAATTCCATTCTTGCTGCTGGCATCTTCGTAAGACCCTCCCGCAAGGCTTTTGGTGTAGTTGTAGTTGGGCGTTGTTTCCATTTTACATTACGGTTGTTACAAATAGGCTGTTGACATGATTTGACTTTGTTGTACCATTTATTCAGGGTAGGCTTTCTGGGCAGGGTTTTAACTGGGGTTGCTATCAGTTGGGAACAAAAGGTCTGTTGGTTGGCATTTGAATTGTTCGGAGAGGAAGGAGGCTGAGGCGGTTCGGTAAGTCTAGTATCAGGCATGCATTGGGCAAAATGAGCATCAAATGGCTTTGGCTGGGTAATATTTGGCATTTTCGTAGGATATTGGAATGGCCGAGGATTTTCGGTGGCATTATTATAAAATTGGGTAGGCCTTTGGGGAGGTTTCGAGGTAAATTGAGGTTTTGAGGATAGCAGGTGAGTGCAGAGGGCCCGAGGGTGAGGGCCACCACAGGATGAGCATTTCATGGGCATTCGGCATTGGTGAGATTTATGCCCTTCTTTCATACAGCTAAAACAACGCCGTAATTCTCTGAGTTTATTTCGGCGGGAATATAGGTCAGGATATTTGGTACAGGAAGGGGAAAAATGCCCAAATACATTACAAAACAGGCAGGGAAGCTTGGGCTCTACGGCATTCGATCGCCGGGTTGTTTGAGTATGGAAGGTTAATGAGGATTGCGGGAAGGGAGGAGAGTCATTTCTAGGTGGAGATAAATTTTGAGGGGAAATTTGAACTTGCGGTTTTGGAGGGCTGTTGTTCATGGCTGAGATATCTTCTTTCCTCTTTAATATGGCTTTCAATTTTTGCTTTAATAATTCTGTTGTCCAAGCGGGATTTTCTTCTTTAGCTTTATAAATTTCTTCTAATACAAAAGTAGGTAATTTTGATTCTATTTCCAATTGAATATGAATGTTGTCGGTATTCTCTCCTTGTTGAGTAAATCGGCAGACCAGGCTTTCAAATTCATTAACTAGGGAAGATAAGTCCCGGCAAAAGTTGTCTCCTTTTCTAACTGTTGGTAGTTGTTTGAGGGATTGGCATAATGAGCGGGAAATTTCGGTAGGATTTTCGTATTTGGTTTTCAGAAGGTCGACGGCTTGAGGATAGGATTGGTCGACCAGCGGGAAGGATTCAATAATGGCTAGAGGAGCCGAACGGAGGCAGGATTTGAGATAAGACAGTTTTACTGAGTCGGAAATGTTAGGTAGGTCTCCGACAGCAGCCTGGAAGGATGACCAAAATGACGGGAATTCAACACAATTCCCGGAAAAGTGCGGTAAGGCCATACGGGGTAAGTGGGCCAAGGAGGTAGAGGCAGTAGTAGCGGTAGGAGGAGGGGTATTGGAATTATTGCCGGGTAAAATGGCGGTTAATTCATTCTTTTGAGCGGTCAAGGATCGGACGTATTTTTTCAGTTTGCCAATAAGAGAAGGGTACGGGCAGGTTTTCGTAAATTCCTCATAAACTTCATTGTCGTGGGTGCGTTCGGGACCAGTCATTTTTACTCTTAGGTCCATCCATTGGTCATGAGTAGTAGAGAGGTCGGTTAGGTTATCGGAGGCCTCGGAAAGTGTAAAATCCAATTCGCGGAGGTAGGCACGGATCTGGGAGAAGTAAATATGATCCGATTGTCCCTGGTTTCGAAGGGGGACGGGAAAAGTTTTATTGGCTTCCAAAATTTCTGTAATTTCCGGATACAGGTTTTTTATCTGGTTTCTGAGCGGGAGGGACATTTCTAATAAGAATATATGTAGTAGTCAAAAGTAAAACAATTGTTGAAATCAGGAAGGAAAATAGTAAATATAAATCAAACACAAAAAAATGAAGGAGTAGGAAATTCACAAAAAATAGAATAAAATTGTAAGTAGGAAGTGAGGTTCGTTATCTGGGTAAGACTGTAGAGAAAGAAAAATTTGGGGTTTATTCTTTCTCTAATGAGGGTAATTCTGAATCCAGCGACAGAGAGATTGGGATAATTTCTCTCAGGTTAAAACAAAATAAATTCTTTTCCAGACAAAGTTTATTTCTTTCACAAAAAAATATATTAAAGTAAGGATAGGAAAAATTGCTAATGTGAAGCAAAATAATAAGGAAGGCTAAGAAGATTTACAAACTGATCAATCTAGGAAGAAGAATAAGCATATATATACAGGCCAAAGTTTTATATAAATAAAATAAAAATAAGGCTGGGAAAAATTCTTTAGATATATTTAAAAGATAAGGAGTACAAAAAATAAAATTGAATTAAAAATAAAATTTTAATTAAAGAAATTTCGCATTTCGCGACATTTCGGCCAAGGCTTTTAGTGGGAGTAGTTGTGGGGGCAGCAGCAAGGGGCATCGTTGTTGGTTGAAGTTGAGCATATTCAAAGGTGTTGGTGGGTGGCGCACCATGAAGTTTATCTGGGATAACGGAATGGGTTGTCGTTGTACGGGAACATAGGCCAGGGTATAAGCCAAACACGAACCACCATGCCAATTAGGAAAAGTTGTGCGTGTAAATAGAGAGGGAGGATTAGTCATTATAGGTTTTATTTTTACCTTCATTGTCTGAGGATTTAATTCCATTCTTGCTGCTGGCATCTTCGTAAGACCCTCCCGCAAGGCTTTTGGTGTAGTTGTAGTTGGGCGTTGTTTCCATTTTACATTACGGTTGTTACAAATAGGCTGTTGACATGATTTGACTTTGTTGTACCATTTATTCAGGGTAGGCTTTCTGGGCAGGGTTTTAACTGGGGTTGCTATCAGTTGGGAACAAAAGGTCTGTTGGTTGGCATTTGAATTGTTCGGAGAGGAAGGAGGCTGAGGCGGTTCGGTAAGTCTAGTATCAGGCATGCATTGGGCAAAATGAGCATCAAATGGCTTTGGCTGGGTAATATTTGGCATTTTCGTAGGATATTGGAATGGCCGAGGATTTTCGGTGGCATTATTATAAAATTGGGTAGGCCTTTGGGGAGGTTTCGAGGTAAATTGAGGTTTTGAGGATAGCAGGTGAGTGCAGAGGGCCCGAGGGTGAGGGCCACCACAGGATGAGCATTTCATGGGCATTCGGCATTGGTGAGATTTATGCCCTTCTTTCATACAGCTAAAACAACGCCGTAATTCTCTGAGTTTATTTCGGCGGGAATATAGGTCAGGATATTTGGTACAGGAAGGGGAAAAATGCCCAAATACATTACAAAACAGGCAGGGAAGCTTGGGCTCTACGGCATTCGATCGCCGGGTTGTTTGAGTATGGAAGGTTAATGAGGATTGCGGGAAGGGAGGAGAGTCATTTCTAGGTGGAGATAAATTTTGAGGGGAAATTTGAACTTGCGGTTTTGGAGGGCTGTTGTTCATGGCTGAGATATCTTCTTTCCTCTTTAATATGGCTTTCAATTTTTGCTTTAATAATTCTGTTGTCCAAGCGGGATTTTCTTCTTTAGCTTTATAAATTTCTTCTAATACAAAAGTAGGTAATTTTGATTCTATTTCCAATTGAATATGAATGTTGTCGGTATTCTCTCCTTGTTGAGTAAATCGGCAGACCAGGCTTTCAAATTCATTAACTAGGGAAGATAAGTCCCGGCAAAAGTTGTCTCCTTTTCTAACTGTTGGTAGTTGTTTGAGGGATTGGCATAATGAGCGGGAAATTTCGGTAGGATTTTCGTATTTGGTTTTCAGAAGGTCGACGGCTTGAGGATAGGATTGGTCGACCAGCGGGAAGGATTCAATAATGGCTAGAGGAGCCGAACGGAGGCAGGATTTGAGATAAGACAGTTTTACTGAGTCGGAAATGTTAGGTAGGTCTCCGACAGCAGCCTGGAAGGATGACCAAAATGACGGGAATTCAACACAATTCCCGGAAAAGTGCGGTAAGGCCATACGGGGTAAGTGGGCCAAGGAGGTAGAGGCAGTAGTAGCGGTAGGAGGAGGGGTATTGGAATTATTGCCGGGTAAAATGGCGGTTAATTCATTCTTTTGAGCGGTCAAGGATCGGACGTATTTTTTCAGTTTGCCAATAAGAGAAGGGTACGGGCAGGTTTTCGTAAATTCCTCATAAACTTCATTGTCGTGGGTGCGTTCGGGACCAGTCATTTTTACTCTTAGGTCCATCCATTGGTCATGAGTAGTAGAGAGGTCGGTTAGGTTATCGGAGGCCTCGGAAAGTGTAAAATCCAATTCGCGGAGGTAGGCACGGATCTGGGAGAAGTAAATATGATCCGATTGTCCCTGGTTTCGAAGGGGGACGGGAAAAGTTTTATTGGCTTCCAAAATTTCTGTAATTTCCGGATACAGGTTTTTTATCTGGTTTCTGAGCGGGAGGGACATTTCTAATAAGAATATATGTAGTAGTCAAAAGTAAAACAATTGTTGAAATCAGGAAGGAAAATAGTAAATATAAATCAAACACAAAAAAATGAAGGAGTAGGAAATTCACAAAAAATAGAATAAAATTGTAAGTAGGAAGTGAGGTTCGTTATCTGGGTAAGACTGTAGAGAAAGAAAAATTTGGGGTTTATTCTTTCTCTAATGAGGGTAATTCTGAATCCAGCGACAGAGAGATTGGGATAATTTCTCTCAGGTTAAAACAAAATAAATTCTTTTCCAGACAAAGTTTATTTCTTTCACAAAAAAATATATTAAAGTAAGGATAGGAAAAATTGCTAATGTGAAGCAAAATAATAAGGAAGGCTAAGAAGATTTACAAACTGATCAATCTAGGAAGAAGAATAAGCATATATATACAGGCCAAAGTTTTATATAAATAAAATAAAAATAAGGCTGGGAAAAATTCTTTAGATATATTTAAAAGATAAGGAGTACAAAAAATAAAATTGAATTAAAAATAAAATTTTAATTAAAGAAATTTCGCATTTCGCGACATTTCGGCCAAGGCTTTTAGTGGGAGTAGTTGTGGGGGCAGCAGCAAGGGGCATCGTTGTTGGTTGAAGTTGAGCATATTCAAAGGTGTTGGTGGGTGGCGCACCATGAAGTTTATCTGGGATAACGGAATGGGTTGTCGTTGTACGGGAACATAGGCCAGGGTATAAGCCAAACACGAACCACCATGCCAATTAGGAAAAGTTGTGCGTGTAAATAGAGAGGGAGGATTAGTCATTATAGGTTTTATTTTTACCTTCATTGTCTGAGGATTTAATTCCATTCTTGCTGCTGGCATCTTCGTAAGACCCTCCCGCAAGGCTTTTGGTGTAGTTGTAGTTGGGCGTTGTTTCCATTTTACATTACGGTTGTTACAAATAGGCTGTTGACATGATTTGACTTTGTTGTACCATTTATTCAGGGTAGGCTTTCTGGGCAGGGTTTTAACTGGGGTTGCTATCAGTTGGGAACAAAAGGTCTGTTGGTTGGCATTTGAATTGTTCGGAGAGGAAGGAGGCTGAGGCGGTTCGGTAAGTCTAGTATCAGGCATGCATTGGGCAAAATGAGCATCAAATGGCTTTGGCTGGGTAATATTTGGCATTTTCGTAGGATATTGGAATGGCCGAGGATTTTCGGTGGCATTATTATAAAATTGGGTAGGCCTTTGGGGAGGTTTCGAGGTAAATTGAGGTTTTGAGGATAGCAGGTGAGTGCAGAGGGCCCGAGGGTGAGGGCCACCACAGGATGAGCATTTCATGGGCATTCGGCATTGGTGAGATTTATGCCCTTCTTTCATACAGCTAAAACAACGCCGTAATTCTCTGAGTTTATTTCGGCGGGAATATAGGTCAGGATATTTGGTACAGGAAGGGGAAAAATGCCCAAATACATTACAAAACAGGCAGGGAAGCTTGGGCTCTACGGCATTCGATCGCCGGGTTGTTTGAGTATGGAAGGTTAATGAGGATTGCGGGAAGGGAGGAGAGTCATTTCTAGGTGGAGATAAATTTTGAGGGGAAATTTGAACTTGCGGTTTTGGAGGGCTGTTGTTCATGGCTGAGATATCTTCTTTCCTCTTTAATATGGCTTTCAATTTTTGCTTTAATAATTCTGTTGTCCAAGCGGGATTTTCTTCTTTAGCTTTATAAATTTCTTCTAATACAAAAGTAGGTAATTTTGATTCTATTTCCAATTGAATATGAATGTTGTCGGTATTCTCTCCTTGTTGAGTAAATCGGCAGACCAGGCTTTCAAATTCATTAACTAGGGAAGATAAGTCCCGGCAAAAGTTGTCTCCTTTTCTAACTGTTGGTAGTTGTTTGAGGGATTGGCATAATGAGCGGGAAATTTCGGTAGGATTTTCGTATTTGGTTTTCAGAAGGTCGACGGCTTGAGGATAGGATTGGTCGACCAGCGGGAAGGATTCAATAATGGCTAGAGGAGCCGAACGGAGGCAGGATTTGAGATAAGACAGTTTTACTGAGTCGGAAATGTTAGGTAGGTCTCCGACAGCAGCCTGGAAGGATGACCAAAATGACGGGAATTCAACACAATTCCCGGAAAAGTGCGGTAAGGCCATACGGGGTAAGTGGGCCAAGGAGGTAGAGGCAGTAGTAGCGGTAGGAGGAGGGGTATTGGAATTATTGCCGGGTAAAATGGCGGTTAATTCATTCTTTTGAGCGGTCAAGGATCGGACGTATTTTTTCAGTTTGCCAATAAGAGAAGGGTACGGGCAGGTTTTCGTAAATTCCTCATAAACTTCATTGTCGTGGGTGCGTTCGGGACCAGTCATTTTTACTCTTAGGTCCATCCATTGGTCATGAGTAGTAGAGAGGTCGGTTAGGTTATCGGAGGCCTCGGAAAGTGTAAAATCCAATTCGCGGAGGTAGGCACGGATCTGGGAGAAGTAAATATGATCCGATTGTCCCTGGTTTCGAAGGGGGACGGGAAAAGTTTTATTGGCTTCCAAAATTTCTGTAATTTCCGGATACAGGTTTTTTATCTGGTTTCTGAGCGGGAGGGACATTTCTAATAAGAATATATGTAGTAGTCAAAAGTAAAACAATTGTTGAAATCAGGAAGGAAAATAGTAAATATAAATCAAACACAAAAAAATGAAGGAGTAGGAAATTCACAAAAAATAGAATAAAATTGTAAGTAGGAAGTGAGGTTCGTTATCTGGGTAAGACTGTAGAGAAAGAAAAATTTGGGGTTTATTCTTTCTCTAATGAGGGTAATTCTGAATCCAGCGACAGAGAGATTGGGATAATTTCTCTCAGGTTAAAACAAAATAAATTCTTTTCCAGACAAAGTTTATTTCTTTCACAAAAAAATATATTAAAGTAAGGATAGGAAAAATTGCTAATGTGAAGCAAAATAATAAGGAAGGCTAAGAAGATTTACAAACTGATCAATCTAGGAAGAAGAATAAGCATATATATACAGGCCAAAGTTTTATATAAATAAAATAAAAATAAGGCTGGGAAAAATTCTTTAGATATATTTAAAAGATAAGGAGTACAAAAAATAAAATTGAATTAAAAATAAAATTTTAATTAAAGAAATTTCGCATTTCGCGACAAAATCATATTAATAAAGATAAACAAAATCAACATATAAAAAGTCAATTAGGTAATAAATAAATTAGAACTCGAAATTTTGATACAGAATACCGATGAACTTCAAAATTTTACCGTACCGATAAATACCTAGAATATGTCGTGTAAATTAAATTACAGTTATTTAAATCATTTAGGTATTTATTTCCTAAGGTGCGCAGTGGGCGGCGTGGTGTATGGATAACACATCAGTCCGATCTACTGAAGATGCTGGTTCGCTCCCAGCTGCCGAATAACTTTTGCATTAGCTAAAGGAGAGAAATATCTATAGCCCAGCTGCTTTACTGTTAATAGGGATCGGAATTCTGGGCTCTAAAATAAATGAAAACCTTAAATTTATTTTTTGTCAGATCAAAACCATAATCAGCTTACACAAAAATCAAATTATGAAAAGATTAATGAGAAATTAAATCAAAATACTAAACAAACTAAAAATATAAAATTAATTAAATGGCCCCAAATAAGTGAAATATTTAAAGAAAAGAATAAAAATAATAAAGATAATCTTATTAGAATACACCAATTAATGAAATTTTTAAATTAAAAGATGTTAAATAATTAAAAAAGATGAAAACTAAAATCTAAATTTAAGAAAATTTTTTTTAAATTATTTTAATAAGCACTTTTACAGATAAATTTTAATCATCTTTGTTATATAAACGGTCCAAAGGTCCCGGCCTATAGCCAGCGGTAGTCAATTTGGCACCAGTGTAAATTTAAAAATTAGATTTAAATATTGTTCTCATTGTAATATTTATTTATTTAAAAGAAAAAATGAAACATTAATAAATTCAAAAATCATAAATCTTATCGATGTGCCAATTCTTCAACGGAAGGACACATGCATACTAAATTTCGATCACCAAAAGAATCATCGATTCTTCCACAGGATGGCCATACCTTTCTTGGAGTAAGACACCATGGCTTTGGCCAACCAGCTTGTTCTCGACTGTACGGTCTGTCCCAAATGTCGGCCATCAAAACTGATTTGGTGTGTGGGGCGTTCTGAATATACAAAAATTAGTAGTTAATATTTTCATCCCTACTTTGTAGAGATCAATGTGTAGTTGTCCTTTAGCTATTTGCTCTATTTCCTGTTTGATTGCAATCAAAGAATCACAGTACCGATCTAATTCTGCTTTGTCTTCACTCTCTGTTGGTTCGATCATTAAACTGTCACGAATCGGCCTAGAGAAAATTTTTAGGTTTTTTCTCAAATAAGAAATTTAAAAATCTAGCCAATGCATTGTTGGTGCATGAAATCCAAAATCCATTAAACGTTTAGCAATATCATCAACTTCAATACTAACATGCTTGAAAGGTTTGCAGTCTATAATAAATTCATGAGCATTCAAGCCTTGTTCATCTCTGTAAACAACTCGATAACCAGCATTTTCTAATCTTTTTGCCATATAATTAGCATTAAGAATAGCCATTTGTGAGGCAATTTTTAAACCAGAAATACCCATTCTTTAAAAAATAGTTTAAAAATAAATATCAAAAAAATTATTTTACAATCTAATATATGCCCAAGTAATTGGCAAAATACTGGCACTTCCCCAAGGGGCACCGCTCACAACGCCATCATATCTATTTTCTCCATTTTGTGGTATTATTGGATGTCCAGGTAGGAAGGGTGCAAGATGTGATTTACTTAAATTATTTATTCAAATTTGATGGAAAGTGAAAATCTTGGAAATATTTGATGGATTGACATATATGATGGAAATCTTCGAAATATTTTGTGGATAAATTGTAGAGATGTTAAAGACAAAAAATTTACATGACTCAAGCTAGACCCAAAGTCCAAGAGTTATCCAGAGGACAAGACATTCACAAGAAAGTTTTTGGAACATAAGTCTTGAACTTATGGCTAGTATTTGTTCCCAAAATTTATTAAAAAGGACTGTCCTCATTCAATATTTAATTATTAGGCCAAATGTTTGTTTAAAATTAATTTAAAATTTTTATGTAAAAATTTCCCCTAGAATAATTAATGTTTTCAGTTGTCAAAATACTAATCTCTCCCCATATTTCCATTTATTTCCTAATAATAGACATACACTCCAATTGGTCCCATTCCTGGTCCTCCACCACCATGAGGTATACAAAAAGTTTTGTGTAAATTCAAATGGGAAATATCACTTCCATAATCTCCAGGCCTGCAAAGGCATGCCTGGGCATTAAAATTAGCACCATCCAAATAAACTTGACCGCCTTTGAAAATATTTTTTCAAAAATTATATTTAAATAATTTAACCATGTTCGTGTATTTTATTGCAAACTTCTTTAATTTGTGATTCAAAAACTCCATGAGTTGACTTAAAATATCAAGCAATTTAAATAAATGATTTTTGAAGAAAAAGTTAGATTTGTATTAAATAATTAAATATCTGTTTTTGAGAAATTAGGAGCTATGATAAGGCTTCTGGATAAGCTTCTAAATAAGGTTTCTGCTCCCATAAAAATGGTGACTCACGATATACTACATAAACTACTATAGTGAAATTGAGCCAGCTCGGAAAAATGGGTACGAATCAGGGCTGCACGCAATTGCGGATTGCGTAAATTGCGCAGGTTTTCGCAATTGCGAATTGCGGAATTTTTTTTCAATTGCGTGCAGCCTTGGTACGAATCTGAATGTTCAATATTATTTAATACTAACAGCCCTAAGGATTTTAAAATTTAGTTTATTCAAAAGTAAATAGAAAACCCAATTTTTTGATTGGGGCGTAAGGGGCGTAAGATAAACTAATTTTCAAGTTTTGATTAATTTTGAAAAAACAATCTTACAGGATATGTAATCATTGCACATGCTAATTCATAAGAAAAACGTTCACACTTAAATATATTTGAATATTAATTTTCAATTTCTTAAATTTTTATACTTTATCAGAGAGATCTTTAAAATTAATATTTCCATGTTTATCTGATTCAACTGGAACAACTTTAAAATTAGCCATGTGTGCAGTAGCTGGGTTAGTTCCGTGGGCAGATACAGGGATTAAACAAATCTTTAAATTTTAATAGATTTATTCAAAAATCTTTTTCCTAAACAAATTTACATTTCTTTGGCTTTCCCCTATAGAATGGAAATAACCACGAATTGCCAACATACCAGCATATTCACCATTAGCCCCACTAAAAAAATTTGAAATAAATTTTATTAAAGAATATTTCCTTTTAAAAAATTTTAAAAATCAAAAGAATATGAAGGTTGATTAGGTTAGACTGACAATAATTTTAGATTCACTCTCTACGACTTATTGGATTTTTAGCCCTAAAAATTTGACTAGTTAGGAGACTAGTAAAATTTTTTGACACCAAAAATGACTCAGCTTGGAGATTTTTTCACCAGCTAATTCTTCAGTCGACCATGCTCGACGAGCGTTCCGAGTAAAACTAAAAATGGACGGGAGGGGGGGGGAGATTAAACCTTAAACAAAGGTTAATCCATTTCAGAGGTCTAAAGTTTAACTTATCCATAAATATTAAATATTTTCAGTTAAATTCACTAAACTTTGAAAAGTAATTAATTTAATGCTTTTTGAATTTGACCATTTTGAAAGGAAAAAAAAGGAAAGAAAAATGGGGGGAGATAACGGAAAAGTACCAATTATTTTTATAAATAATTATTTTCTAGTACCTATTTGGCTGTAAAGAAAATTTATCATAACCAGTAAGTTCACACAACCAACGTTCCAAATCATTAAAAATCTAACAAAAATAACAATTAAACTAATTCCAGATTACTTTAGAATATCCTTTTGCTTGTTCTGTGGGTACAAATGGGTGAATATCAGCAAATTTTGGCCAACTTATCTTTAAATAATTTTTTAAAATTTAAATAAAATTTGTAAAATGTTACAGGAATTAATTCACAACTTGCATTTAATTTCATTGTACATGAACCGAGGGGAATCTATAATTACTTAATTTAATTTAAAAATAAAATTATATTAACCATTGAATGGACAAGTGAGAGATCTTTGTTTTCAAGTCTTTTCATATATCTTTAAATAAATTATATGTAGTTAAAATTAGAGATCGGAATCCATTAGAGATCGGACAATTAGAGATCGGATCAAGATCTAGAAAAATTTTCGATATCGATAACCGTGATTCTCGATCGAGATCATGTCTCGGTCTGGTACTTATTTAAGGTTATTAATAAAAATATTTTTCGTTGAAAAAAGTTTGGTTTTTGCCATAACAGTTATTCATATATTTTTACCAAAATTAGTATCATTGCCCGCAAGTACAGAAAAATTAAGGTCTGGGCCCTACCATAGGAATAAATGAAAGGTCACGTAAGCTTAACTGATTTCAATTTAAAAATTTGATAAAATTATTAAAAATTATTCACCTAATAATCTGAGTTTCACTATGATAACTATTAAATACATGTCCAGTTAAAAAAGGTGAATGTCTAGAATGTGAAGAATTACCAATTAAAGGTGTTGAAGTTTCCATCAATTTATTTTTAATTTCTTTCTAAAAGAATTTAATTGTTAATTAATTCAATTATAATTAGAACTAAACACTGGACAGGATCGGGTACCAAATGCCCGATAGCTTGCAAAGCAAATATTTTATTGGTCTACTTTGGGATAGGTGGGGAAAGGTTCAGGGGTCAAACCCGTTAATTTTTTCCTTACATTAAAAAATGTATCGGCACCGACTTTTCTGAAAAACGTCCCAGGGTCAGTTTATAAGAAACAACCATGGATACCAGTCCTGGCAATAATTTCAAGCTCTGATTATAATTTTAAATTTACCTCACAAATATTAATTCCAAATAAATAAAGAATATCACAAATATCACCAACTTTATAAAAATTATTTTTAAGAAAATATTCTCTAAAAAATACTTTTAGTTGTTTCATCCAAAGAAATACCAATATACCCGTCATTATAATTTCTAACATTTATTCTTTTTTCCTCACATTTTAAATCAAATAAATGCTTATTTAATGGAAGGATTTTTAATGTGTCGAAAAAACATTTATGGACAACTTGAATTCCATTAGCTTTTAAGGCTTAAAAAATTAATTTTTAATTGGTTAGAGATAAATATTATAGTATTTTGAGTACTTATTAAGAATCCATCTTAGTGTAGGTATCTCCACCCAAAAATCGTATCCAAAATAGCGATAACCCAAAATATCAAAACCATATGATTAACACTATTTTTTTTATTTTATCATACAACAAGGGAAGATTGTTCCAAAGAGGGAAGTTTAGTATGATCAAAATTTTCAATTGATCAACAGAGAGTGATCAATTAATTTAAGGGGATTCTTGGTTGATCATGGGTGATCGTATACTGTCGATCACCCAGTGATCAATCAAGAGTCATCACTGGTTTTCGATTTCGAAAATTTTTAAAAATATTTTCTATAGAAAGAGTTTGCAAAAGTTTAGCCACCGGCGGGCAGGATTCGAACCTGCGACCACCTGCTAGTTGTTGCTAGGCGCTTTCGCTCACTATATGCAGGAGCTCTAGCTCTGAGCTACCGGGTCATCGACTAATGCTTTCTTTTTTTAGATCGTTTAACCCCCGCCTAAACTTTTTCTGATTTGGTATACAGAGGCCGAAGTTTATTTTGTTTCTAAACAGCTCTTTTCGGGCCAAAATCCGATCCCCGATTCGATCTATCGAACCGACCCAAACCGCGCCAGCAATACTAATTAGATTAGTACAAATTCTGAACCAAATTAAATTTCAAATTACTTTGAGAAAAAAATGATGTAGCTTTATGTATCCTTTTGGCTATATAAGCTAAACGATTGGGTCCATGATAGATTACATACCTTAAATATTCAAAAATAATTTTTTAAATTTCTCTCAATATCTCTCTCTCAAACAATTTAAAAAACAGACATTGCAGAAATATTAGCGGGAAGTGCTTGAGCAGTGCAAATATTGGAGGTTGCTTTATCTCTTCGAATATGCTGTTCTCTAGTTTGGAGAGTTAAACGATAAGCAATATTTCCCTGTTGATCTCTAAAAATTTGAAAAAAAATAGCTCAAATAATTTCCAAAAAACACCTAGAAACTCCAACAATCCTTCCAGGCATTTGTCTAGCCAAAGCTAGATTGGCAACAGAGATAAAACCAGCATGAGGCCCGCCATAACCAAGAGGATGCCCAAACCGTTGAGCACTACCTACTGCAATATCTGCACCCAAATCTCCGGCAGAGCGTAAAAGTGTGAGAGAAAGTAAATCGCAAACCATTATAACGAGAATCTAAAAATTGATATAGAATTATTATTTGTATAAAACCCTGTTTTTCATATGTGAAATGGAATTCTGACATCCTCAGTTTATCAACAATCCCGACCCATATCTATTATTAGCGATATTCACTTTTTATCTTACTCTTGACCAGGGATTTCATTCAATCATCTCTGCTCTTGACATGTTAATGCCCAGCATAAATACTCAACCAATATGGTTATTATTTAATTATAAAAAGTAAATATCTAATCTGTCCTACTATTCACCTTTTCTTTATGTGCGCATTGAATTAATAAATCCAAATCTTCATAAATTAACCCTTCTGTGTTGGGATATTGTAAAATAATTGCAGCAACATTATCTACAAACTTGTTATTAACACTTCTTTCATTAATATCCAATGGTTGAAAATTAATATCCATTGGTTCTGAACGTGTAGCCATTACACCAATATTTTGTGGATGTAATTTAGTATCATAAAGGATTGCTGTAAATAAATTTATTAAAGTTATGTAGAGTTATCGAAAAATCGAAGTTAAGTTAAAGATATCCTAAGATTTCCAAGAAGTGACTACATTAATTATGACAGAAACTTTAATTTTAATATGTTTTGTTCAAGTCAAAATCGCTATTTCTAAGGATGCGCGGAAAATAAAATTCCCGGCAACGGAATTTAGGTAAAGCCTTCTCAGCTTATAACCGACCAAATAAGATTTGCATTTTTCTTGGGTTTTTATGAAATTTTTATTTGAATTTTTTAAATTTATGCCCCAGTGACTTGACAATGAGTATCTGGATACGTGTCCGGTAGTTTCGTTAGAGGTTAGTTTCGTCAGAGGACATTTTCGTCAGAATCAGTTTCGTCAGATGCCTATTTCGTCAGAGAACAATTTCGTCAGAGGGTTGTTTCGTAAGAGATTAGTTTCGTCAGAAGTCCTTTTCGTCAGCAAGGCTCCCTTTTTAAAAATCTAATTACACGGCGGTATTATGACATATAGTAGGTTATTTGTTTCTGGATCGATTTCGGCGGATAAGGTGTCATTCGAAAGAGCTCTAAGAACTGAGTCGAATTAGTTGTGGAAGAAGTTTATCCGACATTCCGGGACCAAGTTTCAAACTCCTGCATATTGAAAAATGGTGTAGTGAAGCTCAGTTCGCCGAACCGATTCAACTCGTCGAGCTGAGTCGGTTGAGCTATCATTTATAAAATAGAATTTTTCATCCCAAAAATCAGCTTTTTTAAGCTCTTTCGAGTGAAACCTCATTTGTTCAAATAGATCCAGAAACAAAAAACCTATTATAAGTCAAAAACCGCCGTGTAATTAGATTTTTAAAAAGGGAGCCTTGCTGACGAAAAGTACTTCTGGCGAAACTTATCTCTGACGAAACAACCCTCTGTCGAAACTGTTTTCTGACGAAAAAGACCTCTGACGAAACTGATTCTGACGAAAATGTCCTCTGACGAAACTAACCTCTGACGATACTACAGGGCACCTCTGGATATCATGGTCCTTCGTCCTTCTTAGTTTATGTGTGGATTTTTTTAATTTTTCATGGAATTTTTAACTTTGACAAGAATTTTCTTAATGTTTCAAATTTCTATTTCATCATTTAAAGTTGTTTGTTATTTAATCAAAAATAAAAATTACTAATTTCTTAAACTAAAAACAAACTTCTTTTTTTAGTTACACGAACAGCTAAGGCAATAGCCTCGGCACAAGCAGTACTTTCATCTAACAACTTTAATTGGAATTTATAAAGAAATTAAATTTAAAATTTAATTTACTGAAGCATTTGCAAAGGGTAAACCAGTTAAATCAGATATCATAGTCTGGAAGTTTAAAAGACTTTCTAAGCGTCCCTGTGCTATTTCTGGTTGGTAAGGAGTATATGGGGAAGTCCTAGAAATTTAAGAAAATAAAAATTTTAAAAATTATTTATCTCTTTTGTTGGAAAAATCCAAATTTTCATAATAAAGTCACTAGCTAATAAAAGTGTAAAAAACTAATACATTTCTGTTTAATAATTAAGTTCTGTTCTAAATTTAATCTTGTTTGATAGTTGGTTTAGGAATGTTTAGCGATTGCGGATATCTCAAACAAAAAAAGGTCTGATATTAGGAAATCTTCGTGTCGGTTCCTGATATCTGAGATTTCCCAGGAAATAGGGAGAGAAGTAAAAATCTCTCCTAGCCATAGGGAGAGGAGAAAAGAACAAAAATTTGTCCGCAACGTGATCCGCAAAAATTACATAGGGCTAACGAAGTAGGCCAAATTATTTTTTAAAAAATTTAAATAATTAATCACCATCCAGCATTTTGTAACATATTTTTAACAATTACTGAAGGTACAATACAATCTTTAAAATTATTTTTCAATAAATTTTTGATAAATGAATATATTAAATAATACATACCATAAAATCCCATACCTAAAAATTAATAAAATAAAAATAGTAAAAAATTATTTTAAAAATTATTCACTTAATTAATTTTTAATTAAAAATATACTAAAAAGAATAGCTCAGTGTTATGGGTTCAATAGTTATTTACATATAACAAGCGGCAGGAGGTTGTAACTAGGGTTGTTGGTTCTGGACCGAATCGAACCGAAAAACTGAGGATTTTTCGGTTCGGTTCCGGTTATCCGGAGAGTTTCCAGGAACAGACAATCCTACTCGTAACATAAGGAAACTCTGGTAACATAAGAAGCAGACTTATGGACAATCCTCCTACCGAAAGGAAAATCTAAGCTGACAAAAATTGGCCATAAATTAGAAATTGTATAATTTTTTCATTTTAATTAATTTATTTAAATTTACCAATAAAAGTTTTGTAAGGATTATTTAATGATGCAATTTCTCTTAATTCGTCTAACATTTTAGATTCGTTTACACCCTCCTCAGGAATTTGTTTACCCAATTTTTGACGTAAACGAATACTTTCTGGCACGTTTGTGTTGGTTAACTCATCCAAATCCTTTTTAAAAAATATGTTTAAATTACATAAATTAAATACAAAAAATTTTACAAAGAATTATAATCGGACCTCAACTGAGTTTATACACGTGTGTAAACATAATACGATTGAACAAGTTTTGACAAAATTATGATTAAAGTACCACCTTGGAGTTGGCAAGACTACCCTGAGGTTTAATACTGACTTTTACCTCACGCATCTTCCTGGAGTCAATGGTTTCTAGGGACTCTATCTATTCCTTTTTCAATTAATTTTGTAAATCTTTAAAAATGAACTTGAGGGAGGGAGTGGGGACTGCCTAAGTTATATTTAATGAGTTTGTTTCCACATTCACGGTTGGGAGTTTTTATGGACGTGGTCCTCATTTACTGTATTTTTTTCACAAACACAATTGCGGTCCAACTTTATTTTATAAAGTTAAATATTTGGACCCTATCTGAATAAGAGGGCGGTTTGAATTTTTTTCTTCATTTTTTCCTACCTTAATATATAAATAAAGGTCAGTCTTTTCTTCCTCGTTCAATTCCACTCTTTTTACCTGTGGCAAATTCAAATAAAAATAAACAAAGAAAAGATTAAAAAAACAAAAAATGTAAAAAAATAAAACAAAAAGTAAAAAAAGTTTGTTTACGTTTCACTTTCATATATTTTATATTTTTTTGTAATTTACAAGAATGCGTAAAAAAATAACTAATATTGTCGAATCTAATGAGGTAATTGATTAATACATTATGTTTAATGTTAACACATTTTCAGTACTCACCAGATTTTGAGGTTGTTTTCGGTCTGTAACTCTCTCTACGATTGCTTGTCCTCCTTCTCCCCTCTCAATGCATCCGAAGTACCTGAATTATTCAATATTCATTTTAGACATCTTTCAAAGGAACCTACCAGATCTGCGTTCCCTTTTTTGGCTTTCCTCTCTTATGTTTCTGCTTTACCCAGCAAGTTTCGTCTATTTCAATAATCTTCCCAGGTCCTCCAATTTTTCCCTTATTGACAGTACATTCTTTTCTACAGTAGTTAAACCAATCAACTACTGTGTTTTTATCCAAGTTAAGTTCCTTGACCACATTTTTATTCCGAAAATCTTGCAGCCACATATATATTAATGCCAAGAGTTTCTTGAGTGGAAGTTTACTTTTTTCGAAAAACGATCTATAACGAACGGACTTCTTCTTACAACATTCGTTGCATCTCCACTCAAAATCTTCTTTTTTTTATTTAATCCCATCAAATTTTCGCAACTTTCACATTTCATTTCGTTATTCAGTAACCCATGGTACGCTAAAAATTTTAACACCCCTATATTATCCAAAGATAATATCCAAAAAAGAGTTATAACCTCAAAATCTGGTGAGTACTGAAAATGTGTTAACATTAAACATAATGTATTAATCAATTACCTCATTAGATTCGACAATATTAGTTATTTTTTTACGCATTCTTGTAAATTACAAAAAAATATAAAATATATGAAAGTGAAACGTAAACAAACTTTTTTTACTTTTTGTTTTATTTTTTTACATTTTTTGTTTTTTTAATCTTTTCTTTGTTTATTTTTATTTGAATTTGCCACAGGTAAAAAGAGTGGAATTGAACGAGGAAGAAAAGACTGACCTTTATTTATATATTAAGGTAGGAAAAAATGAAGAAAAAAATTCAAACCGCCCTCTTATTCAGATAGGGCCAATATTTGCCTTAAATCCAAGATAACGAAGCATTTGCTGTTTCTCCAACTCTAGAATATATTTTGAAAATTAATTTAGGAAAAATATTTTTTAATTTCAACTAACCACAAGGACCATTATGTCTAAAATCAAGAAAACTAAATTTATCATCATAATCACTTAATTTACCTATCAGAAAAACAATCAGAATTTATTTCCCTTATATTAATATTATTATTTTTAAGAGGAAATTTTTGTATTTTTAAAGAATTATTTTTGTCATTTTTTATTTGTAAAGGAAATGATGCAACTCTGCTTTGATTACGAATAATAAAAAGAGTTGATAAAGTATTAACAGATGAAGTTCTTAGCCTTGTTGAATTAAGTACTCGGCGCATTTTTACAAATCTATTCCTTTAATGAACTTTAAAAATAATTGTTTTACTTAGAAAATGTGATATAAGCAGTGTGAAATATTTTATAACAAAAATTTTATTTTACAAAATTTATTGATAAAAGTACCAGATTGGTGCAGACAAAATTTAACAAAAACGTAAAAATAAATGGAAAAAAATAATAATATCAATAAATGTACCCAAATGAAAGGGAGAATATTCTCGTTTTAATGATAGCTACTAGAGCAAATTTCCCATTCAATCAAATGTTTGGGTCCACACTCAGAAGTTAAACTCCAAAATATCAACACTAAAAAAATAAAATGTGAATAGGAATGCAAAAAATGCAAAGAAAAATATGCAAGTAAAATATGAAAAATAAAATTTATGTATGTTTAAGACAAAATATAATTTAAAACATACAAAACTAAAACAAAAACTAAATTAAAATTTTTAAAGTTTTTTCAAAAAATAAAATGTGAAAAAGAATGATATGCGGGTCAATGAAAAAAATAAATTTACACATTTAAAATCAAAATTAAAGTTTAAAATTTTTTATTTTTTGAAGAAATTAATGCCAAATCAATTTACCAACAGTTAACAAAGTTCTTGTAAAAAATAAAAAGAATTTAAATTGTAAAAATTATAATGCAAATGAACTTTGAAGGAAATAATTATAAATTAATTAATAAAAATAAATAATTAGTGATAAAATGATTGCAGATAAGAATATTAAAAATTAGAGGAAAATATGTATGTTAAATGTTGTCTGATTTTTGTGAAAAAATTTCTTTTTAAATAAAAAATAATGAATGGATGTTTTTATAAATATGTATGAGGGTCAAAGTCAAACGAAATAAATAAAAATTAATTAAGATTAAAGGATAAAAAATATTAAATTGTTTAATAAAAAATAAATATTTTTTAATATTTAAAGTTTAAAGAATAGAGTTGTCGGATTTTGTGAGAATTTACAGTAGATTTTACCCCAACGACAATCTCACCGAAAACGAAAATTTTAAAAAGCCTAGAGAATTGCTCAAATTTTTTTAGAAATCTTTACTACTATTTTATCCAAAAAAGTCAAATTTTAAAAAATCTATGAATCTTAATAATCTCAATAATTCTCGAAAAACCTCGATAAAAATACAAGAATATAGATCGACTTCTCGAAAAAATAACGGGATTTTTCTCTTGTTTTATGTATGCAAGTAAAAAAGCTTTTTTCAAATTTTTTAGAAACCTCTATTACTTTTTTATCTCAAATAATTATTTTCTCTTTTCATTTTATTCATCACAAGTTTGACCCAAAATATCCTTCACAATTAAATTGGTTGAATCTCTCAATAAATGAATGCAAAAAGAGAATTTATTTAAAAAGGGATAAATCCATCAATAAATCTTTTCATTTTTGTATTAGTTCTCTTTTAATCGCCAACTGAGTGGATTGCAGTTATCCATTCAAAAAAGAACCGAGAATGACCATTTACTCTTTTTTCCGTATTTTTAACAACTATTGTGGATAAATTCTCTAATATATTTTTTGCGCCCTATATTTTATAAAAATTAAAAATTTAAAATTAAAAATATATTTTTGTTTATTAATTATTAAACGATCTTAAAAACAGATGAAAATGTCAACTATTCAAATGTTTCCACAATTATTATTTTATTTTATATCGTCATTATTAATATTAAATATTAATGTAAATGCTATTGGCGAAAATCCTGTAAATTATTTAAATAAATATTTAAATTAAATTTGTATTTAGTGGGATATTCAAAATTTCGCAGAAATTATTAGCGGTCTCGGCCAAATGATTCAAAATCCAGCAGAAACTGTTGATGTTCCTTCAGCCCTTATTATGGGAAAATGGTTGGATTTATTTCTTGATTAAATAAAGTTGAATCTGCTTACTTACATCCCTACACATTGTATATTAGAGCTAAGAATGAGCGGAATATGAAAAGGAATTCTTTGATCATTGTTGTTATTCCTGCTGGGCATTATTCACCGCTCAACCCTTAACAGTGATTAAACAGGCAACGACATTATCCTCAGATCGGCAATAATATAGGGTTGATCATTATTTGATCAACCAATTGATCCTTCCCAAAGTTAATTTTTTGGATTATATGGACTCCGGATAGGTCGATCAATAGGAGAGATTATTTCTCAATTCATTTCCGCCGTATATCGGTATTGGGCGATATCAGCTATCAAGACAACTAATTTTCAATTCTCTTTTTGATCCATTCTTTTGTGAATTATTTTTTAATTCATTTCATTTATAAAATTAACCATAAAAATCCTTTAATTTATTCTTAATGAAATTTACAGGTTTCAAGTTTATAAAGCATCCGTCAGTTTTGATATTAACAGGCCGCAAATGTATTGTGCCGTCAGCTATTGTAATTAAAAAATTTTTTTTATTAAAAATATTTTTTAAAAGTTAAACCAAATAGTGTAATGGGGGAGGATGGATTTTCTATTGAGGTTTTTAATGAAACAAAAAAAATTAAATTTAAAAAATAAAAAGGAAGCTTATCGTGCAGTATCAAAAAATGGACCAATAGAAACTTTTAAAAGAGATTTAAATAAAGTAGGTACTGGCAAGTATTGGATGTATACTGAAGAATATTTTTACCCAAGACAATGTAAAGGATTAATTTAAAATTATAGAGTACCTTATTTACTCAAATAATTACCCTGGGTAGTTATTTTTCAACCTTTGGCTGGAGGGGGCATTTAATAGGGAGAGGGTAATTATATAAGAAATACGAAAAATAATTTAAATAATAATTATAATTTCTAGTTTATATAATCAAGATTGGACCAAAATTTGGAAATGATACACAAGTTGACGAAATAGATATACAATATATTGTTGTAACTGGTGGGTATTGAGAGAATTTTCATTAAATTATATGTGGAGACATGTTAGACTCTTGTCCGTGAACCAAGGATTATTACGGAGTCGAGCTTTGAGCTTTTAGAAAGTCAGACTATGACAGGTTTAAAGTCAAAATGGGTTAATCTGTTTCGGAAGAATAGATGTTCTCAAAAATTCAATACCACCAAAAGTTCCGCATTTAGCGCATTAAAGAGTAGAGATCGGCCGAAGAGGTCGGTCGATATTTTTTCGATAAATATCGAAAAATACCGAATATCGAAAAATATCGAAAAAACCAAAATTTTCTCGGTCGATATTTTTTCGATAAATATCGAAAAATATCGAAACCGAAAAATATCGAAAAAAAAGTCTCGATATTTTTCGGTTTTTCAAAAATTTTTCTATAAACAATGTATAACAGAATAGACCTAATAGTTTAATGAATTAAGATTGATTAAATGGGATATTGGTGGATTTGGATGTATTAAATGTAATTCAATGGACTTGTATTTGTGATATAGAAGGATCAAATGGGATATAAGTGGATTTTAACTAGGAATAATGGATTTTAAGGATTAAGGGGGATATTGAAGGACTGAGGGTGTACCGAGAGATTTACAATTAGAAAGAGTGATATTGTGGATTTGTGAGATCAGGAGGGATATCAAGGGATTTGTGGATTAAGAGGGTTATAGGGGGATAAAGAGATATCAGAGGATAAAAATCTTGGCATTTGATATCCGTTATGATATCCATCTCGCCAAAGCTCCCTTGAGATCCATTTTATCCAATTAATCCTCTAGACAAATAGTCGATTATCCCGGATATCCACAATATCCGTCATGATCCTTGGATATCTCAAATATCCCACCAAATCTTTGGATATCCCATCAAATTACTCTTAGCCCACTCTTATTACTCTTAACCCACTGAAATCTCCCTAAATATACCGAAATCCTTCTTAATTCATATATGTTATCACAGCATCTTAACCTGTTACTTTAAGCCGTTTCAGTGGCACTGAAAAAATAAAAATACAGTATCTTTTTCTTTTCCTCACTATTTCTTTCGCGTTAAAGATTTTGAGGTTGCAACTTCGAGAAGTTTTATCTCGAAAAAAAACTTTGAAAAAAAAATTTTATCTTAACTAAATTGTTAAACAAATTCTTATCTTTGTTTTAAAACCAAATTTATTGTTTTTTCACATGTTTTATAAAAGTTACACATGGGTTTGTAACTAAATTTAGAAAATGAAAAATAAAGGGAAAAACCTATTTTGAAAAAATTAATTTTAATTTAAAATGCCTTTAAATGTTAAATAAAATGATTAACATTCCATTTTAATAATTGCATACAATTCATATTCACTTAAATAGAGCACACACTGAAACCCTGGCACTGAAATCCTGGCACTGAAACCATAGTGCTGAAACATCACTGAAAGGCGAGTAACAGCCTCTGCCTATTTTAAGATGCTGTGTGTTATGTAGCGATATCGAGGGAATATTATGGATTAATGGGACAAGAAAGGATATTTTGACAATCTTATATGAATCTCGGAAGGTCAAGTTACAAAATTTTGCGCCGCAGGCGAAAATTTTTTGAATTTCCAATGGGCAAGAAGCAAAAATGCATCCTTTTTGGCGCCAAAAATCCAAATTTTTGTCAAAAATGACGTTCGATATTTTTTTCGATTTTTTGTCATTTGGTCGGTCGATTGTTTCGATTTTTAAATTTCTTCGGTCGGTATTTTTCGATAAATATCGAAAAATACCGAATATCGAAAAATATCGAAAAAGTCAAAATTTTCTCGGTCGATATTTTTTCGATAATATCGAAAAATATATATCGAAAAATATCGAAAAATATCGAAAAATATCGTATCGAGCCGATCTCTATTAAAGAGAGTAGGAATGAATAAGGGAAAAACATAGTGCAAAATAGGAAATACAAGATAAAGCATCGGAGACTCAGAAATTTTCATGACCCTTTTCACTATTAAATTAAGCATAGATTTGAAAGTTTCAAGATGTAATATTGTTTTAAAATTAATTTCATATACCTATACCTATTTTAAAGATGCCAGTAAATTGTCCCTGACAGTTTATGCAAGAGAAGCAATGCTTTTCTTTAAAAAATATAATAAAGAAGTCATGGACTTTTTAAAAGGTAGAAAATAATTTTAAAAAATTAAAAATATTTTTATATAGAAAAGGGATTTGGTGGAAAATTATTTTGGAATTCCCCAAAACCAATATATCAAGGGAATGATTGCGATTGGCCATCAGAAAGAGAAGTGTTTGCAAGAAGGTTAGGTTTTATAGATAAATCCTAGTGAGCTGTCTTGCCAGTCCCTAGCCTAATACATTTTCATAGCTATGATATAAGTGTGTATATCTTATTTTGTATTATAGAGCTGTAGAGAATAATCCCTGCTAATACCTTTATAGCTATGATATAAAAGTGAACATGTGAATTGAATGTGTCAATGGAAATAGCGAAATAACATAGATAGTGAAATGATTAGGAAAATTCATTACCTTTGATTAGATAACTGATATACCTTACATAATTAAAAAATTTTTGGGACAAAGTTTTATCACCAAAATAATTTAATTTTAAAATTAATTTTATCAATTTTTTAGAGTTTTAAAAAATTATGAACACAACAAAAAAGAAGCTGCTCGACCCACAACAAATATTACTCAAACTCCAAGTGAAGCATTCGCTAAAATTATGAAGAATCCTCAACAAGCAATACAACAATTAATGCAACAAAATTTTAATTAGAAATAATTTTTATTTAATTTATTTATAAATTTATTTTATTTTTTCTAAATTAAATTTAAATTCCTAAAATTAACTTAAATTAAATCATTTTTTCAGAAATACATTATTCTTTCCTTTTGCAAAAATTTTGTGAACTTCGGAAGGCCAAGTGAGAAATGCTAAGTTTTGGCAGGCCAAATCCCCAGATATCCAATCCCTGATCTAATAAGGCATGGCTTTTTATAAGCGATGGACTTGTATTATAAATATTTAAACTTTTAGTTTATTAAGTACGAAAAGTCAAATGTAATTCACGTGAAAATAAATCTTGAAAACATAGCTTTTAAATAAATAAAAGTAGGGGGATTCCCTAAAGGAAGTAAAAATTAAAGGAATAAAATATTTACTAATTCCCCAGTAATTTTCCTTACAGATTTTGTATAATTATCTAAAAATGCATTAATATGAATTAGTCTTTAAATAAATGTAAATTTTTAATAAAAATAACATTTTTTATTTTAAAATTTGACTTCATGCCAAATCTGTAACGAGCTAATAAAATGATTCCAAAACTAATAAAAAAAATTTTTTTAATGTCAGATTAAGAAATTATTTTGGACTTAACTACAGTGTTTTAATGTTTTATGAAATCTTACTTCTAGAAAGTAAGACAAAAATTCTGAAATAAAGTAAAGAATGGACTGGAGAGTAGTACGAGATCTCGCTATCAAAATATAGAAAATTATTGATCTCGATAACTGAGATCTGGCTTCAGTCCGGTCCCTAATATCTATTTATTTCATCTATATTATCTAAGTACCTATATTTTTTCATTAATTTCGTAATTAAAGTGTTTAGACATATAGTAGAACATTCAGTTGTTTTCCGTAGTCTTTCGCCGAATTTTCGCCTTTTATGTTTCGCTTTCTCCCTTAGAAACATTTCTTTCTTTTCATTTTCAAAAAAATTCGGATTATTAGTTGAGTTAAAAAATTCCTTCTGGCTTTTTAAGATTTTTCAAGGTTTTAGGTGTAATTGGCTTATTTATTGCCTAAAAATTCGGATTTTTAAAAAACATTAAAAAATTAATTTCCGTCTCATATTCTCTGCTCAAATATTTTAAATGCCATTTTGTCACTTTTCTACTGAAAATAATTAAAAATAAACTTTTGTCAACGAGCACCTGTATTACAGCTGTCTTTATATTTTTATTTTATTTATTCTTGAAGATAAAAACAAAAATTTTATTCTGAAAAGACAGGAAATTGCAAAGAAAATGTTGCATTTTTATCTATTTTTAACAAAAAAAACATCTAAATACTTAAATACGTATTTAAAAGTATTTATAAATATTTTATTTAGTATCAAAATTAACAGTTAAAAAGCAAAAAACAACAAATAAAATTCCTAATTTAGAAAATCTTTTATGGAGGTATAAATAGGTAAATTAACTATAAATTATTTAATTTTAGAGATTGCCGTCCTATCCCTATATTCATTTTTGTTTTATTTTTGTAATATTAGAGGAATATTATTAGGTGAGGAAAGTGGTTAAGAAGAATATCAAGGATTAGGATGATAAAAGGATATATCAGTTTAAAACCTCAACGATTTAAGTGATTTATTCATCCAACCTCTGATATCACCACAAATTTCCTGATTTACTCTGAATTTTCTATTGAATAAAACGTGTCCCTTCTTCTCTCAAAAATGAGTAATTTTCGATATGTCTTTCGCTGAGTAGCTCTAGTTTATAAGTTAAAATTTTTGAAACTTGGGTAGCAACAAGATTTTCGAGGCTGGATTGTTAGTATCGGCGTCTAAATTTTAATTTTATCCACCTTCTTTGATTTGGAGAGATTTGAAGGTAGAAATGATTGTGATACGATGTGGTAAGAATAAGAGTGATAGAAGACCGAAGATTAATGAGGAAATCAGGAAATTATCAGAGATATCGGAGGTGGATGAATAAATCACTTTTATCGTTGGAGGTTTTAGGCTGCTATATCTTTTTATTAGAGTTGTACCCCGACCCCGTACCCCGAACCCCGACCCCGTTCCCGAACGATTTTTTCACGATTCTCCCCGACCCGAACCCCGCCCCGAAAAAAAGTGAAAACCCCGTTCCCCGGCCGAAAAATTTTCGGGGTTTCGGGGTTTTATATACCCAAAAAAATGCCATTTTTGGGAGAAATTAATGAAGAAAATTAAAAAAAATTTCTCCCAAAATTACATTGCCTTTAATATTTTTGAAAGAAAAGTGAATAAAATATTAAAATTCTCTTCCCTTACGGTAAGAGACTTGTGGTTGAGTGGCTTAGTTTTTGGTTTTAGCCTACATTTTCATTAATATGGGATTGTGTTCGGATCCAGATAAGCATAACGCGTTAGTTTTGTATTTTTCTTTACAAAAACAAGAGTTTAATTTTAATTTTAAAATGTTAATCTTATTTTTTAATATTATCAACTATAAAAAACAATGCAAAGATTTTTTGTTTAGTTTTTTGACACGAAAATTTCAAAAATTTTCGTGTGCAGCGCTATAAAACAAAGAAATCCGGCTTTATGACCTAAAAAATTTTCTAATTTTCGCCTGCGGCTCTGAAAATGTAAGAAATCTTCCTTTCGGCCTTCCAAAATTCCCAAAATTTTCGCCTGCGGCGGTGAAAAAGGATATAAACTGAGTAATGAAGATTAAGAGGGATATCAAGGATCCCCTGATACGTCCATATCCACTTATATCCCTCTCAATTTCTTCATATGCCTCTCTCATCATCCCTTAAAATTACTGATACAGTTAATCGCTCCTTAATTCCTCCAAATCCTCTTATATCCGCAGATATACATCTTAATGCCTTCAAATCCCATTTAATCCCTAAAAACCTCTTATATAATCTCTAATTCCTCCATCTCACCCTTAATTTCTGAATAAATTAACGAAAATAGACCGAAAACTGCTTATTTTTGAGCATTTTTTTTTAAAAAATTTTTCCAGGAAATCCCCGTACCCCGACCCGAACCCCGACCATATTTTGCTCCCCCGACCCGAACCCCGCCCCGAAACAATTCGAAAACCCCGTACCCCGACATACCCGCCCCCGAGCGTTCGGGGTACAATTCTACTTTTTATTATCCTAATACTTGATATCCTTCATTACCCCTATATGGGGATTTATCTTTGTTGCTAATAAATTTTTTTTAAATTATTCAATGTTCAGTATGACTAAACTTAATTTAATAAGTGGAAAAATGTATACCTATTTAGAAAATAATTTTTAGTTTTTTCTAATTTTGTTTACAAATAAATTTATTTATATTTAATACTCTAAAAATCAACAGATTAAAAAGCTTTAAATACATTACTGTATTCACATGTATATATTTAATTTTTTAGATGGAGCATCGGAAATAAGGGATTTATTTTTTAGTTGAGCAGTTAAAAAGAGAAAAAAGAGTGACGTGGAGAGCGAAAAAAGCCAAAAGTTATTGGCATAATATTATTTGTTTTTGCTTTTAGTAAACATTTATTTTTTCTAAATCCGTTACAGCCAAACCAGTTGATTTCTATATTTATTTCAAAGCAGAGTTGGACCCTAACATTCAGGGTTACGAAGTTCGGGGTCGGGTTCGATAAAATCGGTCGGAATTAAGGTTAGAATGTAGAGAGTTTGTCGAGATCGGAGAATGATAATAAACTAAAAAGCAGGGCCAGTCGGGATTTAAGTTAGTGAGTTAGAATGGATCGTAGTAAATCATAGTTTAGAGGATTAGTTATTTTTATATGTATGTTTTGACAAATGGGAAATCAAGAATATTAGAGTATAAATGCAGTGAACTTTGTTACAATGAAAATAAACTAAAATATTTCCATTAAAATATCATTTATTCTCTTAATTTTTCTCCTTGATATTTTCGTTTAATCCTCCGTAAATGCTCAAATAATTAACCACACTAAAATAATTACCCTCTAGTTTGCCTAAATCCATTATCTGTAATATAAACCAAAACATTTTCTTCAAAAGACTAATTTTTTCTAACATTGCGTCTGAAACTTGTTGGATAGTTTCGGCATCATGTTTTTTATTAACTTTATTCAATATACACCTGTTAATAATTTTTTACAATTTATTTATTTCAGGTTTTACATTTTTGTTTTGAAAACGCACAAGTTCAAGACCTTTACCGGTTCTAATGTTCCGGATCCAGAACTGAAACAGCATCGGTTTCAGAACTGGCACTGGAACCTTTTCATCAATGGTTTTCATCAATTTCCTTTTCATCAATCTTTTCTAAAAAATTTCCTTGCGCTTTACTTTTAAAAATATAATGACAAATTATGAACGGTAGCAGAAATTCTTGAATTTATTCCTTGAGTTAGAAATGACATTAACATGTTTAACAACCGGGCTCCGACAAGAATACGTTGACATGTTTAACATTTTTAATTATATTTTTAATAATTATTTACTGAATAAAACATTTAAATATTATACGCCTCACAATTTATACGTACTTTAATTCCGAGTATTTTAAATATTTTTAATCTTTATTCAAAAAATAATCCAAAAAATTGAATTTTTAAAAATTATTATCATTAATTTATTACATTGTATTCATTATTAATTTTATAAATAATTTTACAAACACGTGATTAATCTTTTATCTTTTGAAATCTTCACAAATTAAACTTTCTATTAATCCTTAAAAATTTATTAAAGTGCATTTGTTAAAATTTCACTTAGTATTTTTTTTATAATTCTTATTAATTTTCGGAACTATTTAATGCACTGTTAATCTTACTAAAATATTTGGTGACGTTCTTAGAAGTATTTTCTAAATAATTAATAAAGATATCGCCTAACTTAGAGAGTTTAACTATACCTATATTACACAGGAGCTAGATAATTTTAACTGTATCATGTTTCATTCACATTTTTATGATAAAAATGGTTGAACATGTGAAAAAAATTTTTTTAAAAAACAAAATTTTCGATTTAATGAACATCTCAATAACGTAAAATTTGAAATAGAATGAAATGACGTTCAAATACAATGCATGGCATTGAATTGGTGCGTTATGCCATTTATTCATTTCTACATGTTTTCAAACATGGAAAAATATTATCCGTAGGATTGAGTAATTCTAATTTAATGTCACTTTATGGACGGTAAAGCGTATATAAAGAAAATATTTTGACTTAATATTCAGAATTGTGAACTCATTTCAAGAGATTACCTTTTTTAGAATTTATGTACCTTTTATATACTGTTCATATAAATTTAAAAAAAAAACAGAAAGGAAAGCTTATTTAACTTATTTAAACGTCCAAAAATTTTAAATATAATCCCCCATTTCCATATTATACATACTTTGCTTTTCATTCTTTTGGCTTTCTCATTTAAAAATCATAATTCCTTGGTGTGCCAACATTTCAAAATATTTTTTATGGCGAACATTTTATATATACCTGGCTCATGATTCTAAATAGTAAATAGATTTATTAAAAGATTTTTTAACGAAAACAAAGATCTTCTCTTTTATCCTTGTTTATAAGTTATTTATTAGTATACATATATTCCCATAATATTTTGTTTTTTAGATTTTTTCTAAGTAAGTCTTGTTTTTAGCTGTGCTATTTTAATAATTTTAATAAAGCTATATTTAGATAACATTTGCTTAATTTTTAAAATTTGTTTATATTTTCTTAATAATATAACATCTACCTGTTTAACAAACAGAATAATAGTCTTATACTATAATCTTCAACGTAGTGAAGTTCTGTCGATATACTATATTAAATATTTTTTATCGCACTTTATAATTATTAAATTTAGACTGTAATTAAATGTATGATCACTCAATAATTACCCTCCCTCAACTAATTACCCCCGAGCCATTGGTTAAAAATAATTACCATCTTAAAAATTTTTAATGGACTTTCTACCAAAATTTTTTACTAATTTTTAGATTACGTATTTTCTCGATTACCCCTTACCCCCCCCCCCCCCCCCCACTCAAAAATTTTATCTCTATTAATCGCCCTCTCCATAACTCTCTAGTGAGAAGTTGAAACAATAATTACCCTCTCTCAAAGTTCAAAAAAAAGATTAATTGCCCTCTCTATTAATTAGTTCAATCCATAAAGTGGTCGAAAAATTCATTACTCATTATAATTATTTATGAAAAAACTTTCTTTATATTAATTCTTATAGAAATGGCACCAACTATTGACTTTGGCGCAGTTAATTATGGATGTACAAAATATAAAAGAAGGATGGTTTTGTATGAGAGTGTTTTACAGCCAGGAAAGAGATTTGTTAGTTTTTCGAAATCTTGGATAATTAAAAATAATTCTCTAGGAATTTTGCTATTCCTCTTCCTACCAGGATAAACGTGGAATAGAAACAGCTTATTACAAATGTGTTGGTTGTATGCATGCTAAACGTTATAATGATGGAAGGAGAATTCCAAAAATTGCTGTAACTTTATTTTGTAACCAAATTATAATTAAATTTCTTTGATTTAAAAGGTTCGTCAAGGTCGTTTGGTCAATTCAAACCCTGATAGACCTTCAAATTTTCCTCATTTTTGTCAGCCAATTGATTCAGCTGTTTCTGACCGTAGACAACGTGAGAGGGAGGTTATAAATTGATGTTATTATTTTAATTAGAAAAGTAATAGAGATTAAACCGAGTTTAGTAAGGATGGATGTTTTAGTGCTTGATCGCTTAAAGTGATCTGGCCTAATGTTTATCCTTGCTCATAAAATATTTGTCCCATCATCTATCATTTTTAATGTGTGTGTTAGTCAGGGATTTGATATTTTCTAGTATTCAAATTCACATTTTAATTATAGATATCAGCAAGCACAAGTGGTCAATCGTCTTCAACATCATCACAACGAAATATTATACAACAAATTAATAGAAATCAAAATTCAGACCAAACTATTCAATCAAACTTAGAACTAGCTCAAGCATCATCATCTAATGCTTTAGCAGAAACTGCGCGAAACTCTCTTTTCTTTAATCCGGCAAAACCTGGAGTACGTCATTTTAACTAAAATTAGTGATAAAGGATTAGAGTCGTTGTTTTTCACTTTTTTCCATCAAAAGTTAAAAATAATCCTTTTTAAATAATTTCCCTAAAATCCTCCCACCTTGGCTCCAATTCAACCAACTTTATAGTTTCGCAAACATAAGATGAGGTCCGACTTTGCCTTATGTTTACCATTGTTAGACAATAACAGTGGGTGGGGTTTATTTATTTTTTGCCAGCCTTAAAATCGAAAAATCTGAATAACACATTGTTCTCATTCTTCAATTTTAAATTTGCGAATTTAAATCCCTTAATTTATGTAACGAAGCTCTTATATCTGTTGGAGCGAGTGATCTATTAAACAATTATCCATCAATTACTAGATCAAACCTTTTTAAAACAACCTTAAATATATTATTGAAATATTGTGTTTGAGCTAGTATATTCGACTATTTCACCTAAAAATTTGGTTAACCCATATAAATTTCAATTTTTGAGGGAATATACCTCAGCCCAAATAATTACTAATTTTGGTGGACTCATCTTTTCTTTCTAATGACATATATTGACATATTGGATTGTGCGCCCTTAAACATAATTTTACATTAATTTTAATTATCAGATTTTAATTTTAAATATTTTCAGACATCTAGTATTTCTAATTCCCAATTCAATCTTAATATTTCATCAATGGGAGTATTACCATCTTCATCATTTTCTTTATTAGATTCTACTTCGCATTTAATTGCTAGAGGTCCTTCAATGAATGAAGTAATGCAACAACAAATACAGCAATTAGCAGCCAGTTGTTTAGCTTCAACAGGAGTTTCTCCAAGTAACACATTAAATGTTACTTCACAAAATTTACTTTTTGGGATGGGAATAACATCAACTAATACAAATGCATGGCAACCAATCACAACAACACAATAACTATACATACAAATAAAATTAATACACAGAATATATACTTACATATTTATTTTTAAGATTTATAAAATTATTTATTATTATTTTATTAAAAATTATAATAAATAATTTTTCAACTAAGATAGCACCCTGCCCGAAACCCGATTTTTCTATCAAAACCCAGTAAACTCCGAGTTGTGGTCAGCGGTTTTTTACTCCCCTAATTATAGAAATTTTTTAAATAAATTAGTTGAGCGATGTTCAAAAAGTAATTGTTTTTGATTTGGAGGATTTTTATGTTTTTGTACATTTACAATTTTTACATCACACTTGGATAATTAGGAACTACATGTTCCCGTTTAATTATAAATAGCTACATTAGAATTCTTGTAAATTTAAAGCTTATCCATGCATCTTGAAATGAACTTTGCTCAATTAACTTTTCGATTGATAAGTTTAAAAAAGATAAATTTTAGAACGTAATTTTTATTTCAAATTTATTTTCATTCAAATAATCAATGTTAAAATTTTAGTGTTGGCGAACATTTATTCTTTATACTCTTTTTTATTCTATATTTGCTTAAGATTATTATTAGATGCGAAAAAGGCGAGGTGTTTTTTTAAAATTTATCGAGAAAAATTGTTTGTTAACAAAAGTTTTCATTTTTTCATTCTAAAAAAAATCCAAAAGAGACTAAAGCAACTATTTTCAGAAATATAATATGTATTGTGAATAAAATTATTGAGAATGATTTTACATAATACAGGGTGACACAAAAGAAACTGCACACGTTATTTTTGGCATAACTTTATTCAAATGAAAGATATTTGTCTCAGATAAAGCTTATATGATAGAGACATTTTTTGTTCCTTATTTAATTCTCTATCATATAAGCTTTATCTGAGACAAATATCTTTGATTTGAATAAAGTTATACTTAAAATAACGTGTGCAGTTTCTTTTGGGTCACCCTGTATTTACATATTGTGAGTTACTTTTTATAATTTCGTTTTTTAAATCTTTTGTTTCATGACCAGAATTAATGGATTTTTCGAAATTTATTTGTTGTCTAATTCTATTTATAATGTTAATATTGTCTTCATTATATTATCTAAATTATAACCAACAAGATCAACTTTATATTCTCAAATCGTCTAAGACGGTATTAATTAAATTTTAAAGGATTTAAATAAGTTGGTATGCTTATTTATATTTTCAGGAATCCGCAAAGGGGTTTGAATTTAAAGGACTTGATTCCTTAAGATAATTAAAAGATTGTATGACTTTAAAAAATTGTAGTATTTTTAAGGGGACTTGGTATAAGAGTTAGAGTACGTCGAATACGCTTCGGATTGAAAATTGATGGATAATTTTATTTCGGGGTATTTTGTAGAATCTATTCAAATCTTCCGTTCCTAACTTAATTCAAATCCTCCGATATACACATAAGTCTTCCATCTTCAGCACCGCATGCGAAAATTTTGAGAAATTTGGAAGATCCTCAAGCTAAATATCTTCCTTTTTGCGCCGAAGATAGGGCATGAAAATACTCGATTTGAACCGAGTAAGTCGAGTAACTAATTTTCGAGCTCGAGTAATCCTAGTATTAGGATCCAGAGTATCGAGCCCGAGTAATGACGAAAAATTGAGCGGTCGAGTCGAGTAACTCAAACTCTATAAGTTTGAAAATATAAAGCATTTAAAAAACTACCTAGATCATTTAATTCTAATTTTTAATTAAATTTAATTAAGATAAAGATTAAAAAGCAGAAAATGCCCCCAATTTTGATTTGGAATAAATGTATTGAAGTAAAAAGTCAAGGAATTGGTTATCCAGATTATCCAGTGATTAATTCAAACATTAAATGTCCTTTCAATTGCACTTTTACTAACGATAGAAAATTGTATGTTTGGATTTAAATAAAAAACACCAGAAATAGCAAGATAGGATAGATAAGATATGCAACACTATTAGGTGTTTCGAGCTATATTATTTCGACATTAACTTAAGCTCAGTTTAAAAATAATTGATCAAGCTCAAGTTCCGAGTATTTGGGCTCAATTAGGTAAATTACTAGCAACTACAAACACTTCTTCTCCAATATATGTAGATGTTTTATTATTCAAGTGAGATGAATGTTTCAACTATACTTTTCTTTATACATGTATATTGTTTAATAAACGAATGGCCCCAGAATCGCAGAGAAGATCAAAATTATATGATGTATACAGTTGAAAGTCCTACAGAAACTTTGAGACATTATGACAGAAAATTTCTAACAAACAAATTTTTAAATAGTTCAGCTACCTATCGTTTAGATAGTTCTGTATTTATGCCATATGATGCTTTAACTAGAATTACTCCAACTACTCCAAAAGAATATATTTGGGATCAAGAAGAGGTAAAAATGCTCCCAGATAAATTTAGAGCTAGAGCTCAAACTCGTGTTTTTCAAAGTCAAGTGATAAGAGAAATGATAAGAGAAATGAGATGTAAGTCGAGTACCGAGAGTAACAAATTTCCGAGCTTGAGTAATCCGAGTACTAGAATCCCGAGTTTCGAATCGAGTAATTACGCAAGAAACCCGAGCGGTCGAGTTGAGTAAACTCGAATTTACTCTAATAAGAAGCAATCCTTCTTAAAAAGGATTTTCATTAGTGAATATAAATCTTCCTATCATGGATATCATTTAGACTTCCCAGAATACTTTTAATGCGAAAGTTTAATCATAAATACAAATTAAAGGTTGTGGCAAGAGTTAAAAATAAAACAAGATTGGCCTTCCAAGCAATTTCTCATTGTAATGCTACATCCGGTCGTGATCTTATTTCAAAAAGATTACAAAAGCTGATAGGATTGGAGGTTGTTGGTATTTGTTTTAGAAGAGGGTGCAATGATGAATGCTATAACCGAAATATAGGTAATTTAAATTTGATTGAAATTAGCTAACAAATATACATTTTTAAAAAGATCCTGGAAAGTGATCTGGGATGGTGTTGATTTTGAAAGATTCAAAATATCCAGAAAAAAGGTTCCAAATCCCAAACGCATAAGAGTCCAAAAGTAGATAAAATTTTTAGCATTTGTATTGCCTTGGACTTAAAGTGTCGATCAGCATAAAACTCTGATTAATAATAAATTTTTAGAAAGGCACATTTTCTATTTGGCATTGGAGAATAATATTTGTCAAAATTATGTAACAGAAAAATTTTGGAATTCGTTAAGATCACTTACTGTACCTGTAGTTTTTAGTAGATCTGTTTTTGAAGGAATGGATGTTCCTTCTAGTGCATTTATTGCTTTGGATGATTTTAAATCAGTGAATGAATTTGTTGCGCATCTAAAGGCTTTGCAAAATGATACGGAAAGATATTTAAAGTAAATTCAAAAAGTTAATCACTGTCAGATAAAACTCGATCTTATCAAAACTACCGGTTTATAGTACTGAAAAATGTACAGGGTTCGAGTAGTGAAAATACCTAACGAGTCCTCGTGTAGTTCGATTATCAAGATAAAGATTCTTTGAGAGCTCGATCTTGTTATCAAATGGCTCGGAAAAGTCTTGATGTATAGGAGCTTCATAAAGTTTTCCTAATAGTGTATTTGTCTCCGATTCCTCTCACAAAAATATAGAAATATAACTAATATGGGGACATTAATTTATTTAGCTTTGTATAGATAATTTAAAATACAGACACTTTGAATGGACAAAAACATATACAAAAAGAAGATTTGGTTATGATTATTCTCCAATATGCAAAATATGTGAATATGCTACTAAACAGTTTGAAGAAAAATCAAAAAATATAGTTGATTTAAATAAATTTTGGAATGATAAGGATTGTAACAAATTTAGTGTTGAAAATTTTTTGAAAGATTCATGAATAATAATGTTAAAAAATAGTTTTTTAAACTCGATCTGGTTAAGATGTTGTAGCAAAAATGAATGACTATTAGGTTATCCTACCCAATTTTCCTTTTGCCTCGTAAAATTAAAATCAGATTAGCCTGATCAGTGACTAGCCGCGCTAGTATGATCCAACTAGAGTGACGCTTTCACTGCTTTTATACTATAGTGACACCAATACGCAACAAAACGTATCTAAAACTTTTATATTTCTGATTTATTTAACAATTTAAATGATTATTTAAATCAAAAAGTATTTTTTATAAATTTTATAATTATTAATCCCAAGTCCCTTTCAACATTGCAAAATATTTTTCAGTTTGTTGTTTTGCCTCAGTTGGAGTAATTTTATTTATTGTACTCTTCTCCAGAGATTTATTTATTTTTGGAGCACAACGAAATATTTGGTTAAAAATTTTGAAAAAATTCTTCCTTAGAATTTTATGAAAACTAAAAAGATTTGATTTAATAATGGAATAAAAAATATTTTTATGTAGCTTACAAAATTGTTGTAGAAATTATTAAAAAGTTAATAAACGCAGTAAACAAGTTGTTAAATTGTGACTAAAATTATTTAAATTATTATTTTTTACATATATTTCTTATTTTTCATAAATATTCAGAAATACCTAACTCATAAATCCGTTGTATATTTTTATCATCTCTGTTTAAACCCCAACAATTCTAAATAGCAATAGGATAACATTTGAAATGCATATAGAGCAGTTCATCGTTATACCTATTTGATCTTACTATAGGATTTAGTCCGTGATCTCCTGATCCATCACCAAAACCATCTTTATAGATATTAGAACTTTCTTCCTTGGATATACTGTTAATCTTGTGCTTGTTGACCTTGGCAACTCTCGGAAAGACCAAAAATAACACTTATCCATAAGCATGATAATGGGAGATCTATGACGTTTATTCCTCTCGCTGTTTGATCCGTAATTCCAGGGTCTTATTTTGTAGATATTATATAATCCTGTTACACCTAACCTATAGGATATCGCGAGAATTATTCATTATTTATTAATGAACTAACAATTATTTCACTTGTAAAGTCATCTGCTTCAAAAATAATTGAATAACACGTTTGGGAAAATGCTGTCAAAACACCCGCAACGAAATAAGCAAGAATTGTTGGCGCCAATTGTAATGCGCTCCGCATGTTTTCCAAATACTTTAAAAATTAAATGTAAATTAAAAGAATCTTTTATTATCGAAAATTATTATTTTCCCCAAACTATCTCCACATTGTACTCCTCACCTATCGTAATGATGGACTTCTCCTCCCCGAAACCCGACTTCTTCCATGGAACTTTTTACCTTTTAATCTCTTGATATACCTCTTAATCTCAAATCAATTTTCTGCGCCGCAGGCGAATTGTTACTCCGCGGAAATCATCAATATACACATTGATGTCAGAGGAAAAATTTTCAAATATACGGAACCGATATCCAAACCAAATCCCTAACAAGTTTTATAATTTACCTGATAACTCTTTTTCAGCTTATATTCAGATGTTCTCCTATGAACATTTATTACAACAACAGGTTTACCTCCAATTATAGATAATTGACTTGAATTTGAAAATCCATTTAATTTATTCTTGTTGTACTTCCATATTACTCCAATCAACTAAAATTTTTTTATTATTTATTTGATATTAATTTATTTCGTACAATAATTTCAAAAAATCCCATTAAAGCAAGCAATACAGCAATTATTGCACTAGATAATGTCACATTTTGAGATGATAAATTATCATTTGCTTCATCTTCTTCGTTATGAACAAAGTTTAATACTGACAGAATTAACTGAAAGTAAACGTGAAATTATATAAAAATTGAAAGGATGAGATGTGATACTCCCGAAAATGGCAATTTTCGACATTTTTTGGGCCGGGAATCTTTATTACAAAAATCGCGAATATAAGTCTAATCTAATATATCCCTGTATAAACTTATGCTCAAAGGGTGGTTGAAGGATCATTCCTGGTTTGTGACCGCTTATAAGCACTAAAAATATGTTTCTGATATCTCCACTCGTAAAAAGTTAAACTCAATATTAAACATAAAATACTCTGAAAAGTCCTACATAAACAAAAATCCATGAGGCTGTAAATATTTTTCCCTTCTCAGTTTCATAACATTTTATAAAAACAGTGGCACAAATTCGTTCAATAATAATTAAATGACAAAATATCATGCGAGAAATAAAGGGAAGTTGTACAAGAAATTTTATTGGGAAAAATCTTTAAATAAATTTTATTGTATCCAAATAATTTTTAAAAATACCTAAATTCAGTCTGAAACCAAAAAATATCCCCCGTAAAATATTTTATTGGACCAACGAAGAATAGCCTGATTAATGCTTCAAATATTATTAATCCGCTTTGTGATATTAAAATAAATTTGAGGTTACGATGGAGTAACTTAAATATATTTAATTAGTATTTTAAATTTAGTTGAAGATTTTCGTCAATATTTAGATTTTTTTAACTTAAATTAATTCTACAGTAATAAATTTACTTAGTATCTACATACTAATCAGTGAATTCATTTAATCTCATATTTTACATTCTATCTGACACAAATATAAAATCTCCGGTTTAAATAAATTTTTTGAAAGTTTATTTGAACATTATATGTATGTATTCAGCAATATTCTTAAATTAAATAAACAAGCTATCATTAAATTTAATTTTCCAAATCAAGAATCCCCTACGACTTTATTGAGGACCTCTGTGATCATAAGCTAAATGGCGATTGGTTATTAAATTATACCACGGGTTTTCTGTTAACTAATGCAGCTTTTTTTAAGATTTGACTTTCGGGTATGAATTTTTGTTGATTACTGGTTTTGTTTTGATGGTGTTTTAAAAATTCATTTTCTATAACCTTCGATTTCTAAAATGTTATATGTAACTTTAAGTTCTCTGCTTTAAAGCTTGTCATAAAACCCCAGATTGGACAATACTAATAAAATTTCAAAACATAATTATTTAAACCTACACTGGTCGAATAAAGAAGTCTTATACAAATTATTCCAAAAAAAATATTAATAAATTGAACAAAATATTCTATTAAAATAAGTAGCCAAGCAATTATACGTTGTTCTGAAGTAAAAAGTTCTAGTTTGGCAAACTCTTCAGAATCAAGTCCCAAATAATTTAATTCAAATTGAGTTACATTATGCATTATTTTTATTTATTTATATTGTATATTCAATAGAGGAGTATTGATAATTTTTAAATTAATTAAGATAAGAATGATATGAATGTATAAAGCTCAGGATTGTTTAGAAATTAATAATTATTTGTTGAAAATATCAATTTAAATTTTATGTTTAAATTTAGCAAATTAAATTTAGTTAATTAAATTTGGCCCAATAAATTTTGTCAAAATTTCTTTTTAAACAAATTTAAGTTTAAATTTATTTTCTAATAAAATCCAAAAAATGCCTAAAAATATTTTTTCGCAGAAATTAAAACTATAAATAATGCAAAATGAATAATTTTAAAGAATTTTTGACATTGTATTATTCCGTTTCCGTGAAAGATTTTTTTATATTTCAATAAAATGTAAGTAACAAAGAACATAAAAACGTTAATTAAATAAAAGAATAAAAAATTGAAAAGGGAAGTTGAATTGAAGAAACTAAGAAAATTTTTAAGCGTAAACGGTTAATTTTTATTATAATACAGGCTAACTAACGGGAATGCTTTTATTTGAAGTATACATTTAATTAGAACTCCACATTTATTTTTAGGAAAACGGTAATTAACGAAAAAAGTTAGTATACAAAGAACTCGGCTCGTGATTGAGACCAGTGCTTCGAAATTTCAAATTTGCTCGTACTCGTACTCGTACTTCGTACCACCTCTTTTTTTGGCCTCGTACTCGTACTCGTACCTCGTACCACCCCCATTTTTTTGCTCGTACTCGTACTCGTACCTCGTACCACCCCTATTTTTGGCCTCGTACCTCGTACTCGTATCTCGTACTTACTCGTACTTGAGAAAAAAGCAAAAAATCGAAACTTTTTTTAATTTTCTGGACCCCAGGACATCTAGTTTTAAATTTTAAGCGTTGTATGTGATAAATTTTGAAACTTGGAAGGCTTTGAAGCTATAAATCCTCCGATTTCATCAATTTTCTGCGCCGCAAGCGAAGGTTTTGAGCATTTTGGAGTGCAAGGAGCAATATTTCCTCAAATATGGGTCGTGTTACCCGAAACGCGGTATTTTTTCATCAAATTTTCATCCTCTTCCATGGAACTTCTTACCTTTTTCACCTAACCTTTCACATTTTAATCTCCTGGTATCCTTCTTAATCTCAAACCCTTTCTGCGCAGCAGGCAAAAATTTTGAGGATTTTAGATATCCTTAAGTTAGATTCCTTCCAATTTTTGCGCCGCAGGCGCAATTTTTGAAAAATATGAAGGCCATGAAGCCAAATTTCTTCCATTTTTCACCGCCGGAGGCGAAAATTTTAGAATTTGGAAGCCAATAAGACAAATTTCTTCCTTTTTCAGCGCCGCAGGCGAAAATTTTGAAAATTTCGGTGGGCCGTAGGCAAAGATATTCACTTTTTATTGGTCAGACGAAAAAGTTTAAGAATTTTATGGGGATAAAAAGCAACAATTCCTCCATGAGAAAATAGAATAATTTTTAAAACAAAATTAAACTTAAAAAATAAATTATTTATGAAAAGAAAAATGTCAAAAATCCTTGTCCTCTGACCAGGCATCGAACCCACCTTTAAATCATTAACGACTTGGGTGAGGCCTAACACCTTAACCACTCGGCCATCCAACCATATAATGGCGAATGAAAGGAATTAAATATATTTCTTCCGATTTTCCTATCAATACCAAGTACGAGAAGTACGAGCTCGTACTTAGTCCTCGTACCTCGTACTTTTCACTTTTTTTGGCCTCGTACTCGTACTTCGTACCTGCCCCATTTTTTTGCTCGTACTCGTACTCGTACTTCGTACCAGGTACGAGTACGAGTACGAGGTACGAGTACGAATTTTGGTACGAGCTTCGAAGCACTGATTGAGACTTTAATACTGAGATTAGTGTTAGATCCGTCTGTATATGTGGTTCTGAATTGAAATCGTCTTGTAAGGCAATGACAAAATTTGTATAAAAAAATTAGGACGAAAGAACAATTTTGAATAATTTTTCAAAATTTTTAGTATTTAATGAAATAATTACAAATGGTCGTTTTATAAAGTATGATTATTTAATAAAATCTTTTATTTTTTCTCCTTTACGTGAATTTGCTTAAACACAACAACCTTTCATACTTTTAATATAAAATTTTAAAAATTATTTTAATTATTGCCTCAAAAACTAATAATTCAATCAGTTTTTTAATTTAATAAAAGACCATTGGAACGTTTCGGACTGACACGAGATTTTCCTCTAACAATAAGTTATTTTATTAATTTAATCTTTAATTTTAAAAAATAACAAAATTAAAAGTACAGTTGTCACCTTTTTATTTGAAAATAAAAATTATAATTTAATTTCAACTTAATATTTTCTATTTAAAATTAAATTTATAAATTTGTTTTGATAAAATTTTTATCCTTATGACTTTATAGTTTAATAAAATTATTTAACAAAATTAAATAAACATTTTTATTAAATATAATTAAAAATAAAATTTTAAACAAGAAATTTAATTTTAAGTAATTATATTTTAAAAATTTATATATTATTAATAGAAAAATTATTTAAATCATTTATTAATAGAAATATTTTAAATCCGATATTAGCTTAATAGGTACATAGAGCATTTCTAGATGGCAGAGGTTTGTCGGAATTGACGAAGGTGCCGGAAATCGGAGCTACTGGTTTTTGCTTCAAAATTATCAAAAATCGGACATTTTTATTATATTTCGTAAATGGGAAATCGGGAGGGAAAAATGTCAAAACTCGGAAATCGAAATTCCGACCAACCTCTGGTACGTGGTTAGGCGTGTTGCAATCAAGTGCCAAGTGTTAAACTTGACCTCTCTCACATATTTTAATCAATTTGAAACATTTATGGAGGTCAATAGGAGAGATTCAAAAATTATAACGATGTAACGAGTCAGCTGAATTTAAAAAGCTTCCATGAAAAGTTGAATAATTATTTTAACAAATTTTCAAACAAAAAATTGTCATTTCCCGAATAAGGTTTGTTGAGTTGCGAGTTCAACATTCAACAGTTCAACATTTTGCGAGTTCAACAAGAAGAAAAAAATGAGCTGAAAAATATTTTTTAATTGTAACATCCTGGAGCTACCGAATCTAAAATTACTGTGGCGTTA